ACCTGGTCAGAACTAAATTTTTTCAATAAACTTTATGTCGGTACATCCTCGGAACCAACCTTTATTTACAGTAAAAACAACGATACCTGATAAAAACTAAATTTTCTAAATAAACTTTATGTCGGAACTTCCTCAGAACCAACCTTCATTTACAGTAAAAACAACAATACCAGGTCAGAACTAAATTGTATAAGTGAAATTCATGTCGGTACCTCCTCAGAACCAACCTTAATTTACAGTAAAAACCACCATACCTGGTCAGAACTAAATTTTCAAAAGTAGATTTTATATTGGTACCTCCTCATAACCAACCTTTATTTACAGTAAAAACAACCATACCTGGTCAGAACTAAATTTTCTCAATAAACTTTATGTCGGTACATCCTCAGAACCAATATTAACAGTAAAAACAACAATACCTGGTCAGAACTAATCTTTATAAGTAAACTTTCTGTCGGTACCTCCTCAGAACCAACCTTAATTTACAGTAAAAACCACCATACCTTGTCAGAACCAAATTTTATAAGTAAACTTTATGTTGGTACTTCCTCAGAACCAACCGTTATTTACAGTAAAACAACAATACCTTTTCAGAACCAAATTGTATAACTAAGCTTTATGTCGGTACCTCCTCAGAACCAACCTTTATTTACAGTTCTGACCATACCTGGTCAGAACTAAATTTTCTCAATAAACTTTATGTCGGTACCTTCTCAGAACCAACCTTTATTTACAGCAAAAACAACAAAACCTGGTCAGAACTAATTTTTTTAAGTAAACTTTATGTCGGTACCTCCTCAGAACCAACCTTAATATACAGTAAAAACATAAGTACCTTGTCAGAACCAAATTTTATAAGTAAACTTTATGTTGGTACTCAGAACCAACCGTTATTTACAGTAAAACAACAATACCTTGTCAGAACCAAATTTTATAACTAAGCTTTATGTCGGTACCTCCTCATAACCAACCTTTATTTACAGTAAAAACAACCATACCTGGTCAGAACTAAATTTTCTCAATAAACTTTATGTCGGTACCTCCTCAGAACCAACCGTTATTTACAGTAAACAACAATACCTTGTCAGTACCAAATTTTATAACTAAGCTTTATGTCGGTACCTCCTCAGAACCAACCTTTATTTACAGTAAAAACAACCAAACCTGGTCAGAACCAAATTTTCTCAATAAACTTTATGTCGGTACCTCCTCAGAACCAACCTTAATTTACAGTAAAAACATAGGTACCTTGTCAAAAACAAATTTTATAAGTAAACTTTATGTTGGTACTTCCTCAGAACCAACCGTTATTTACAGTAAACAACAATACCTTGTCAGTACCAAATTTTATAACTAAGCTTTATGTCGGAAACTCCTCAGAACCAACCTTTATTTACAGTAAAAACAACCAAACCTGGTCTGAACAAAATTTTCTTAATAAACTTTATGTCGGTACTTCCTCAGAACCAACCTTTGTTTACAGTAAAAACAACAATACCTGGTCAGAACTAAATTTTTTGAAGTAGATTTTATATTGGTACCTCCTCATAACCAACCTTTATTTACAGTAAAAACAACCATACCTGGTTAGAACTAATTTTTTTCAATAAACTTTATGTCGGTACATCCTCGGAACCATCCTTTATTTACAGTATAAACAACAATACCTGGTCAGAACTAATTTCTATCAGTAAACTTTATGTCGGTACCTCCTCAGAACCAACCTTAATTTACAGTAAAAACAACCATACCTTGTCAGAACCAAATTTTATAAGTAAACTTTATGTTGGTACTTCCTCAGAACCAACTGTTATTTACAGCAAAAACAAAAAAACCTGGTCAGAACTCATTTTTATAAGTAAACTTTATGTCGGTACCTCCTCAGAACCAACCTTAATTTACAGTAAAACATAAGTACCTTGTCAAAACCAAATTTTATAAGTAAACTTTATGTTGGTACTTCCTCAGAACCAACCGTTATCGACTGTAAAACAACCATACCTGGTCAGAACTAAATTTTCTCAATAAACTTTATTTCGGTACCTCCTCAGAACCAACCTTTATTTACAGCAAAAACAACAAAACCTGGTCAGAACTAATATTCATAAGTAAACATAATGTCGGTACCTCCTCAGAACCAAACTTAATTTACAGTAAAAACATAAGTACCTTGTCAAAACCAAATTTTATAAGTAAACTTTATGTTGGTACTTCCTCAGAACCAACCGTTATTTACAGTAAAACAACAATACCTTGTCAGAACCAAATTTTATAACTAAGCTTTATGTCGGTACCTCCTCAGAACCAACTTTTATTTGCAGCAAAAACAACAAAACCTGGTCAGAACTAATTAAATAAGTAAACTTTATGTCGGTACCTCCTCAGAACCAACCTTAATTTACAGTAAAACATAAGTACCTGGTCAAAACCAAATTTTATAAGTAAACTTTATGTTGGTACTTCCTCAGAACCAACCGTTATTGACTGTAAAACAACAATACCTTGTCAGAACCAAATTTGTTAACTAAGCTTTATGTCAATACCTCCTCAGAACCAACCTTTATTTACAGTAAAAACAACCATACCTGGTCAGAACTAAATTTTCTCAATAAACTTTATGTCGGTACCTCCTCAGAACCAACCTTTATCTACAGCAAAAACAACAAAACCTGGTCCGAACTAATTTTCATAAGTTAACATTATGTCGGTACCTCCTCAGAACCAACCTTAATTTACAGTAAAAACATAAGTACCTTGTCAAAACCAAATTTTATAAGTAAACTTTATGTTGGTACTTCCTCAGAACCAACCGTTTTTTACAGTAAAACAACAATACCTTGTCAGAACCAAATTTTATAACTAAGCTTTATGTCGGTACCTCCTCAGAACCAATCTTTATTTACAGTAAAAACCACCATACCTGGTCAGAAATTAATCTTTTAAAGTAGATTTTATGTTGGTACCTCCTCATAACCAACCTTAATTTACAGTAAAAACATAAAAATCTTGTCAGAACCAAATTTTATAAGTAGCCTTTATGTCGGTACTTCCTCAGAACCAACCGTTATCTAGATTAAACAACAATACCTTGTCAGAACCAAATTTTATAACTAAGCTTTATATCGGTACGTCCTCAGAACCAATCTTTATTTACAGTAAAAACAACCATACCTGGTCAGAACTAAATTTTCTCAATAAACTTTATGTCGGTACATCCTAAGAACCAACCTTTATTAACAGTAAAAACAACCATACCTTGTCAGAACCAAATTATATAAGTAAACTTTATGTTGGTACTTCCTCAGAACCAACTGTTATTTACAGTAAAACAACAATACCTTGTCAGAACCAAATTTTATAGCTAAGCTTTATGTCGATACCTCCTCAGAACCAACCTTCATTTACAGTTAAAAAAAACAATACCTTGTCAGAATCAAATTTTCTAAGTAAACTTTATGGCGGTACCTCCCCAGAACCATACTTTATTTACAGTAAAAAAAATACCTAGTCAGAACTAAATTTTCTCAATAAAATTTATGTCGGTAACTCCTTAGAACATATCTTTATTTACAGTAAAAACAACAATACCTGGTTAGAACTAATTTTTATAAGTAAACTTTATGTCGGTAACGACTCAAAACCAACCTTAATTTACAGAAAAAACATAAGTACCTTGTCAGAACCAAATTTTTAAAGTAAACTTTATGTCGGCACCTCCTCAGAACCAATCTTTATTTGCAGTAAAAACAACCATACCTTGTCAGAACTAAATTTTTTAAAGTAGATTTTATGTCGGTTCCTCGTCAGAACCAACCGTTATTTTCAGTAAAAACAACCAAACCTGGTCAAAACTAAATTTTCTAAGTAAAATTTTTGTCGGTACCTCCTCAGAACCAATCTTTATCTATAGTAAAAACAACCATACCTTGTCAGAACTAAATTTCCTGAGTAAACTTTATATCGGTACCTTCTTAGAACCAACCTTCATTTACAGTTAAAATAAATCCAATACCTTGTCAGAATCAAATTTTCTAAGTAAAATTTATGTCTGTTCCTCCTCAGAACCAACCTTAATTTACATTTAAATTAATCCAATACCTTGTCAGAATCAAATTTTCTAAGTAAAATTTATGGCGGTACCTCCTCAGAACCAACCTTAATTTACATTTTAATAATTCCAATACCTTGTCAGAATCAAATTTTCTAAGTAAAATTTATGGCGGTACCTCCTCAGAACCATCCTTTATTTACAGTACAAAAAAGAATACCTTGTCAGAACCAAATTTCTTATTAAGTAAACTTATAGTCGGTACCTCCTCAGAACCAACCTTAATTTACTGTTAAACCAACAATACCTTGTCAGAACTAAATTTTCTAAGTAAATTTTATGTTGGTACCTCCTCAGAACCAACCTTAATTTACAGTAAAAACATAAGTACCTTGTCAGAACCAAATTTTCTCAATAAACTTTATGTTGTTGCCTCCTCAGAAACAACCGTTTTTGTCGAGCCTGCGACTTTTGTCGCAGAAAGCTCGACATAGGGATAGTGATCCGGCGGCGGCGGCGGCGGCGGCGGCGGCGGCGTTAGCTAACTTCTTAAAAGCTTTATATTTTAGAAGGTGGAAGGTCTGGATGCTTCATACTTTGTATATGGATGCCTCATGTTACGAAGTTTCTGTCAGTCACATGTCCAATGTCCTTGACCTCATTTTCATGGTTCAGTGACTACTTGAAAAAAAAGTTCAGATTTTTTGTAATGTTAGATTCTCTCTTATTATAAGTAATAGGATAACTCTATTTGGTATGTGCGTACCTTGCAAGGTCCTCATGCCCGTCAGACAGTTTTCACTTGACCTCGACCTCATTTCATGGATCAGTGAACAAGGTTAAGTTTTGGTGGTCAAGTCCATATCTCAGATACTATAAGCAATATGTCTAGTATATTCGGTGTATGGAAGGACTGTAAGGTGTACATGTCCAACTGGCAGGTGTCATCTGACCTTGACCTCATTTTCATGGTTCAGTGGTTATAGTTAAGTTTTTGTGTTTTGGTCTGTTTTTCCTATACTGTATGCCATAGGTCTACTATATTTGGTGTATGGAATGATTGTAAGGTGTACATGTCTAGCGGGCAGGTGTCATCTAACCTTGACCTCATTTTCATGGTTCAGTGGTCAAAGTTAAGTTTTTGAGTTTTGGTCTTTTTTTCTAATACTATATGCAATAGTTCAACTATATTTGGTATGTGCGTACCTTGCAAGGTCCTCATGCCCGTCAGACAGTTTTCACTTGACCTCGACCTCATTTGATGGATCAGTGAACAAGGTTAAGTTTTGGTGGTCAAGTCCATATCTCAGATACTATAAGCAATAGGTCTAGTATATTTGGTGTATGGAAGGACTGTAAGGTGTACATGTCCAACTGGCAGGTGTCATCTGACCTTGACCTCATTTTCATGGTTCAGTGGTTATAGTTAAGTTTTTGTGTTTTGGTCTGTTTTTCTTATACTGTATGCAATAGGCCTACTATAGTTGGTGTATGGAATGATTGTAAGGTGTACATGTCTAGCGGGCAGGTGTCATCTGACCTTGACCTCATTTTCATGGTTCAGTGGTCAAAGTTAATTTTTTGAGTTTTGGTCTTTTTTTCTAATACTATATGCAATAGTTCAACTATATTTGGTGTATGGAAATATTTTATTATCTATTTGTCAGTCACACAGTTTTTTTTTTACCTTGACCTCATTTTCAAGGTTCATTGCTCAGTGTTAAGTTTTTGTGTTTTGGTCTGTTTTTCTTAAACTAAAAGCAATAGGTCAACTATATTTGTTGTATGGAAGAATTGTTAGCTGTACATGCCTGCCTAGCATGGTTCATCTGACCTTGACCTCATTTTCATGGTTCATTGGTCAATGTTTAGTTAACTTGGTTAATAATAAGTTTATGTGACAGTTGTAATAAAGCTTTATATTTAGGACTATCAACATAATATCAATGATAAGTAAAGAAGGCGAGACATTTCAGTGTGTGCACTCTTGTTTACAGTAAAAACCAAAATTTCTATGTAGACTTAATATCGTTACTTTCTGAGTACCTTGTCAGAACCAAATGTTATTACATAATGTTTAAAGTGTAACCTCTTCAAAACCAACTGTTATTTAAACTAAAAACAATACCTTATCAAAACCATTTTTTTTTTATTTATACTTAAGATAGTTACCTTCTCGGAACAGACCGTTTGTTCCAGTAAATATAACAATACCTTTTTGGAATAATTTTCTTTCTATGCAGACTTTCTCATATACCTTTACAGAATAACTTTGAAAATCAAGAATACCTTGTCAGAACCAAAATTTCTATGTAGACTTGGTGTTAGCCAAGGCTCCGTGTTGAAGACCGTACTTTGACCTTTAATGGTTTACTTTTATAAATTTTGACTTGGATGGAGAGTTGTCTCATTGGCACTCATACCACATCTTCTTATATCTTTTTTGGTCGTTTCCTCCTCGGGAACAACCAATTATTTTAAGTAAATATAACAATACTTTTTTTGAATAGTTGTCTTTTTATGCGGCAGACTTTAGGTAGTGACCTGCTACAACTTTTCGTTATATAAAGTAAAAACAAGTATGCCTTGTCAGAACCAACATTTTTTCTTACAAAAAGATAAAAGTATTCTAATCCAAGCAACTGTTTTACACATATGATCAGTATAACTAAAATTATATTTATACGTTATATCGCTTCTTTTATTACCGTTTGATATGTTAATGAATTATATGTTAGCTCGGCTACATAAAATGTTATTTGATTAATTTTCATTGATTGAATAATGCACACTTTTATTGTGATTGGGGTAAAACTCAATGTCACCTAGCTGTGGTATCCATTGACATTAAAATTTAAAAAATAATATTTTCTATACTGTGAGTTCAGGGGACAACACGGAAAAGCCCCTGAAAGTGGTGTTTTGGAAAACATAAATGCTTTCTTCGATCTTATTATCCTAAATATATTCTATATTTTCACGGAAAAGCCCCTGAAAGGAATAGGAAGAGAAGGTGAGAAGATACTGAAAGAAATTCAAAAGAAACATATTCATGAAATGAATGTTTGGAAGTGACCCAATGGGAAATTGAAAAAAATAAAAATAAAAATCACTACTTTCATTTCCGGGGGCATCGCTCGCAAATTCGCAAACTGTTGAAGAATACTCTAAATCTTGTACTGAGAAAATTACAAATTATAAACTACAAAATACATTATACAATACAATACAATGTATCCAAATATACAGTATATTTAACATGGGTTACACTAAAGACCTGAAAGTGGACCTGAAAAGACCTGAATAGGCCTGAAGATATACGACTCAAATATTTCAAATTACAATAACTTCTTAATTTTTCAAAGGATTTTCTTGAAGTTATAATTTTATTAAATGTTAAGATCCACGTTTTATTAAAAATAAAATGTTTTAAATAAAAAAATAATGTTTGATGCCAAAACTTGGACCTAAACGGAGAGAAGAAAAGACCTGAACGGACCTAAAATTTTACGATCAGACTTATTCAAACTTCAATTAATGTTTTATTTTTCAATGGATTTCCTTGTGATTTAGATTTTGTGAAACGAGTAATTCCATATATTAATAATATTCAAAAACAAATTACGAAAAATATTGTTGGGGCGTCAAAACTCGGACCTGAACGGAAAATTAAATTACCTGAATTGACCAGAAAATCTGCGGTCAGATTTATTTAAGTTCTATAACTGTTTTAGTTTTCAATCAATCTACTTGAAATTTAGAATTTTGTTATAGAAAAGGTATAATATTTCATTGAAATGATAAAGAATCTTATAAAAAAATATTTGTTTAGTTTAAAAATTCGGATCTTGTGGAAATAAAAAGACCTGAACAGACAAGACTTGAATGGACCATACGGGTAGATGTATTTAAACTAACTGAACCTTATTTGTCAATTTGGTTTTATTTTAAATTATATTAAAAAGAAAGAATGACTTTATATATTTTTAAATAACACATGCCTTAATTGTTGGTGTTGAATCCTGGACCTAAAGAGAAAAGAGGATTGTCCGTGGAAAATAATTCAAAATAATTAACTTTTTTAAATTGTTTTCATACAAACAGGTCTTCAGCTGTTTTTTTTTTTTTTTTTTTTTTTTATATATTGAAAATAAAAGTATCATTTTGCACATGCATAAACCGTGTAATCGCAAGACGCGTGCATGCATATCTGAATTACATGAACGTGTGCCGGCAGTAATTCACACATTGAAGAAAACTGATTGATATTAGGTGATAATTGGATCATTAGTCTAAATAAACATTTCATTTTAATCTTTCAATTAGATTATCATTTAATCTTATTACACTAACTATAAACATTGCTCGGTCATATGTCTAGGTTAGTCTATGGAAAGGTATATACTATGAAATTTAGAGCGAGGGGCTTGCCCCGAGCTCTTAATTTCATAGTATATATCTTTCCATAGACTATCCAATTTAGCACATATTTACAACTCGAGTAATCTTTTAATTGGTCTATTGATAGTTTATTTTGGCTGACTACTTGTATCACAGGTGTTTGTAAAAAGGAGCTCATTAACGAAGTTTTGTAAATCTACTCACTTGTATTATTGTTAAATATGTGATTTCAAAAGGCCCGTCACTCTAGAATGAAAAGATGGTAGCTGCTGGTGTAAGTATGTATACTGATATAAAGCGGTGTTTTACTATACATGTTCTTCTTACATGGTAAGATGACAAAATAAATTGACCAAAAGCAGGCAATAATTAAATTGCAGTGGAAGCTTTACATGTTTTGAAAACATTTTTTAATTTCACAGTAAAACTAAAGCTATAATAAATTTGAAACATAGAGATAGTTTGTCCCCATAGATATAGTCTAGCAGATAGGCATTAAAAAGCAACTACCAATAGATCAGAGATTACAGGTTTTGTGTTTTGTGTTGTTTTTTTTTTTATTATTTCAAAGTAAAAACTAAAAGATTTATCAGAATATGTTTATATATATATATAGGTGGCACATTATCTTCAGACATAATCACAGTTTTTCAATTCATGACATCGTCCTGAACATGCATGAAATAATTGCCACTGGACATTTAGCAACCAATAATCAATAAATCAATCAATTCATGACGAAATAGATCACCTTCCTTAAGAAAGTTTATCACCAAGTTGCTTTAATTTTCCTGCACAAGGTTTCATAGTACACACTTTTCTGTGTACAAAGTAATTGCATGGATGATACATTATCATAATTTTAAGATATCGTTGTACTCTAATCAAGGTATAAAGAACCATATGTATTACCCTTTATTTAAATGATAAAATTTGCAATTGTCAAAAACAATTTTTAGATCCAAAGATTTTAATAGCAGGATATTTAAAAATCAACGTGAAAACTAATTACAAACTATTTAATTTAATTTGGAACACAGCATTTTATTCAAAATAGCCAGTGGCAATTTTTGTTTTAAATATCTTGATTACGATACAATGAAATCTTACCCTTGTGGTCATTCATGCGTAGTTACTTAGTACACAGGAAAAGTATGTACTATGAAAATTAGAAGGCAAATATAAGCAATTTCATTGGACGAGAAGTTGTAAATATGTGCTAAATTTAACTACAAACTTTACAAATAAAATTTGTAAGCATACGTCTATGGTAACCTTTGTTACATGTATCTCTTGTCTCTGTGACTTATATGTGAGGTTTGATTATCCTTTGGTATCTCTCGTCCTCAGTTTTGACTTGTATCAGCAGTTTTGATTATTCTATTAGTATCGCCCGTCAGTTTGCATATTAGTTTTCCTTTTGATAAAATATTAGAAGAAGATGTGGTTTGATCCCGATGAGACAAATCTCCACAACAGACTAAATGACATAGCACCTCTTAGAAGTCCCACGGCCCCAGCTTGTCTGGCAAACCAGCCGTTGGACGTCAGAGTAATCTCGGACTATCCAAAACGGTGCACTTAGTACCAGAAAATTTCGAGGTCAATCGCCCTTCGTCGCCACTTTTGCATGATACTCACCTGTTTTTCATTTTTTTTTACAGACACATAATTAAATTATGATAATATGACTTCATATTTACTGAAGTTCGCTATCAAAAAGATGTTTTCAAAAGAATATGACCAAAATAGTGTTTCTTTATTGTACGGCAACTTGTACCACGTAGTACGGCGAATTGCAAAATATCAACGT